AGCTCGCGTCTGACCGCAACACTGAATTCACATCTGAACAAACGATGCCCCTCGTCTCCTGGCTCCGCCTTGCAGACCTGACACAAGGGCGAGTCGACGGACCGTGCCGCGAAGAGGCGCGCCTGAGTCCAGAGCCCCCCAGAGACATGGGTTCCGAGGAGCTGCGCCGCCGTCTTGAAACCCTCACGTCGAAGCTGCTGCTGGGCCTGGCGGATAGGCTCCAGGAGAGGGCCCCCCCCCCCCAGGTTTTCCAAACCAGGGGGCCCAGGGGGGCACCGTAGGAGCGCAAGCTCCGTTCCTAAATCGACAACTTTTCGAAGCGAGCCAGGGCGGACCTCCGTCAGATCAACCAGCACACCCCCCGCCTCCCACCTCGACTCACTCTGCGGCGTCCAACCCAGGCGCTTCAAGGTGGCCAAAACAGCCGAGCAGGGCCCACGCGCCCTGCCGTTAAACTTAGCAAACGCTTTGGCAAAGAGGGACCCCAAGATATCACTCGACACCCAACCCTCGACGATCGCGCGCCCCCAGAACACCAGCGGCAAGGCGTTGCCCGCATACACGGGATCGGACTTGGGGTCCTCGCTGAGAAGAAATTGCAACGTGCGGCTCTTGCCAGCCGACGGCCCAAACAGCGCCGAACCAGCAGCAGCCCTCAGGGAGGAGAGATCCGCATTACTCATTCCCGTTACTCTGGTACCATACAAGGCCGCGGGAGCTCCTCCTGCCTTGAAGATCCGAGAGAGCCCCTTTCGCGGCGAGCTGAGTAACCGAAACCTGCGAATCCTTTTTCTGACGCTCAGAATCCGACCCTTCTGGACCCTGCGTGCCGCCCTTGAACGCGAGAAGTCAATCCCAAGATTCTTGACCCCGTCGACGACCACGAAGTTCCACCGACGAAGCCTGCTGGGTATAGCCTTACCCATGGTCCTGGGCGACGCCACGATCCTATTCTTAGTGGGAGACACTGTCAGTCCTAGATCCTCCAGCTTGCTGCACAATGCGTGGAGCGCTCGTGCCAGCCCACGAAATACCATCTCGGCTGGCCCGATCACTGACAACGTACAGTCATCCACCACTAGGTAGGCAGAGATGTTGACGGCGAGAGGGATGACCGAATCAAGGGTACTGGTGAGGTACAGACGGAGGAGCATCGTAGCATACGCACACCCTGCGAGGATCCCTTGAGCAACTCTAAACCACTCCGAAACGAATAGCCCCACCTGCAGAACCCTCGGGGCGCTGTACATAGTGACCAGGAGGGCAACTCTGCGCGGGCTGAACCTGTGCTGCACCGCGAAATCCAAAAGGCGAACGTGTCCGACATGCTCATACGCCTTCTGAAGATCAACCAGGCCTGAGGCAGAAGACTGGTTGTGATGAAAGGCCCACTCGTTCATAGCGGACTGAACCCAGACCGCCCTCTCACAACTCTTCCCCTGCGTGGCGTAGACCCAATCCCTCTCATGCTCCCTCTCCCACTGCTTAGCCTCTAACTTCCTGCAGGCCGAGAGAACGCGCATGCACGTGGTCAAGATGCCGATTGGACGCCGCCCCCCTTCTGGTTTAAGTAGAAACCCGATGACAATCTTCCACAACTGAAACGGGAAGGCGACCAGCCTCTCCATCTGCCACAAGAGGGTGGAAAACGCCAGAAGCCCGTCGTCGGACAACTGGTTCAGGACGTGCGGGTGCCAACCGTCTGCTCCCACTGCCGTCCACTTCTTGAACTTGCCGAGTGTCCTCCTCAGGAGCGGCAACTCGATAGGCTGTGGGGTCGGGTCGAGGTCGAGCGCCTGTATGTGCTGCTGAATAACCGCGAGACGGTCCAGCTCACTTACACTCGATTTCCAACCCCAGATCCCCTGCCACTCCTGGGTGAGGCCCACCAGGAGCTGATCGGTTCCCCAAGGGGCCCCCCCAGCACTTTCGTCAGGGGTCCAGGCCTGGGGGATCTTTGTGACTTTGTGAGCCAGACCCCCCCCTCCTTGTACTGAACGAGCAACGTGCTCCCGCCAGTTCTTGGCCCTGGACTTCGCGAAGATACTTTCGATCCTGTGGGCCTCGCTCTGGGCCCTGACGATGAATGAATCCAAATTAAGATCGGGGTGAATATCCAGCGTCCCAAGATCCGTTCTGAAGCTGTTCCAGACTGGGTCCTGCTTGAGTCGCCCCGACCAATCCAGAAGCTTACGCCGAAGACCCAAGGCGTCCCGAGACTCGTACTGCCGTTTCCTGACCAGATACTGCAACTCTTGCAAACGATTCTGAATCAGCCTCCAAGCTCGAGCCTCGGGGGACGCCTTCGGGTAACACCCTCCTGACTTGGGTAAAACTGGCCGCCTAACAACCGAGGCTCCACGTCCTCGGCCACTGCACCGCCTAGCTTCACTCGTCTCCAGGCCGTGCAGGAGAGAGAGCTCGTCCTCTGCGGCGTCACAGAACGAGAGGTAGGCAGACGGCAGGTCGAATTCGCTATTCACATCATCGACGATGGTGTGCACAGCATCCCAAGACTTACCTAACGGGCGAGGACCGACGGGGAGCTCTAGCGGGAACTGCTTGGGCAGCTTGAGCGAGGGCAACTCCAAGGCACACGGCTTGCCTGAGACCTCCATGTTGACGGCCCAATGCGGGGCCGTCTCCTCCTCCTCCTCCTCCTCCTCCTCCTCCTCCTCCTCCTCCTCCTGATCATCATTGCTCTCATCGCCCTCCCTCGACGACGGCTGCGACCCTCCGACCATTCCCTGGGTGCTTCCTGACGGCAATTTCGAGGCGGACCTGGCCGTGACCACAAGGAGGCCCCAGGAGGCCCCCCAAAGAAGCAAGAACGCCAACAAAAGCTAGACATTCTGGATCGTCGACCCTCCATCATCATCGGGTTTAGAAACGATCAAAAAATCGTCCCCCGACTATTTTTTCTATTTCTGGATACTCTCCCTGTAGAGAGACAGGCCCGACTTAACCCTAGATGCTCAAGGATGAATTACATTATCAACTCTGGCTCCGCTGGTGAGGGACCTCAGGTCCTCAGACTGTTCGCTGCCCTTCCAGGGGCCTCGCCAGCGAAACCTCGCGGCAGTGCCGGGGCCAAGGTCGCACAACTCGTGGCTCGCCTTGCACGTGCGGGCCACCCGATCGTAGACTGGAGGGCCTTCCTTGCCTCCGTTGCCGCGCCGCCGCGAGGGGCGGTGGGGGCTCTGGGGTTGCGTCCTCGTCAACACCGTGCGTCTCCAATGGCGGCGTTACCTCCTCGCCGCTACTGGGCGGCACCGGCCTGAGCATGCCCTCCAGGCCGTGCTCGCCTGCCCGGCTGGCTGGCCGGGCCTATGCAGGCTGGTCAGCGCCAGGCCCTGCCGCAACCCCTGAGCATTCACCTGCCGGCTGCTGCCTATCGCCTGCTCCTGCGAGCACGGCGCCCATGCACCGTACTGTGTCTGGACTCCCTCTAGGACTCAGGTCGGGCATGTCCTCCTACAGGCGGGTTTTGGACGGCAAATAAAAGTAAGGACATAAGAATCAGAAATAATCGGAACATCGTCCCCAGAAGCTATTTTGATTATCTTGTTGATAGTCCACCTGTAGAGGGACATACCCGACTCCATTGAAGGGGCCCTGGGACACACAAATAAATAGACACCAATACAAGGATTCCCCATATGTTCACATATGTTCTGGGTTTTTGTCTTCCCCCCACTTCCCATATTTTGCCACATTTTCTAGGGAATCGACGATTCATTGTGTCTGTGTTTTTCCCTCCTGATCCATACCCCCGCTCAAACTCGGTGCGGTGCACAGGTTTTTGTTTGTTGTTCGGCTCTGGGGGCCGAGGAACTCTGGGCACCGCACCGCTCTCCTGGGTCGAGAGTGGACTGCGCCTCTGGAGAAGCCAACGCTGGAGTTAGGTCGAACCTGTCCCCCTACAGGGGGATTCTGGACGAAAAATTAAAAATATTCAAAAATACGCAAGAGATGCCCAAACATTCCAAAAAATAATCCCGGACTATTTTTTGACTATTTTTGAATGTTCCACCTGTAGCGGGACAGGCCCGACTTAGCGCTGGAGAAAGATACAAACCGCAGGAACATTGAAGAAGTGGCGGGTACCGCCACGGTTGTTCACACTTGCCTCCATCGGATAGGGTATCGCGTATCGCAGTGGGTCAGTTCAGTTCTATCGGATAGGCTGCTATCGCACGTTGCAGCGAGTGAGGGCAGTTAGGGTTGAGAGGAAGGGCCAGAGGGGGTAGGAGTGAAAGGGGGGAGGAAGTAAGCAGGGGCGGTTCCCCACAAACGGAACCAACACTGAGATCCGGAATGCCTTCCATGGTAGGGGGACCGATGCTTCCCTACCGCCCCCCGTCGGCGCACTCGTAATGTCACGGACTCGGTGCGCCATGCTATTGTCATGATGGGGGTGCGGGAGCGTCCAGGGCGAGCGATCCGTAGCTGCTCGGTTCAAGCTGATTTTGGGCATAAACTTTCCGAGTAGCATGGCCAAGCCATGGTTGCAAGCAGGAGCGCTCCCCGATGGGGAGCTGTTGACAATGGTCTTGGGGAGCCCCTTCCTCGAGGCAGCGGCGTATGATGACTCCGGAGAGGGTCAGGGAACATACATTCTCAAGGTGATGCAAGGTGATTGTTCGCCATTGGGGGGAGTGAAGATTATATAAGGCAAAATATTTAGTGGCAGAGGATGACTACTACAACCAATGGATGGGTATGGGCGGACATCCAGAGACTGGTTGGTACCACTTGTGCTGCTACGGCGACGGGATATGTCGGAAAAAAGAGGTCGAAAAGCATTGTGTACACATAGAGGCGTGGCGTCCGCTCTCGTGTGAAGACATTGAAGCAGGCAAGGTATCGTGGACATCGCGCCCGGCCCTCAAAAAGAAGATGCTGGAGGCGGTCTTGGAGGCCCGATTGCCCCTCCCACCTCCCGAGGACCCGCCGCCGCAGCACCGTCCCGGAGGAGGTGCAGGAGCACGTGCTGGCGCATGAGCGCGCTGGAGGTGCAGCCCCGGCGGAGCTGGCGGCCGGTGCCCTGTGGAAAGGTGCCGACGACGATGACGACCGGGGCACACGAGTGGCCCGGGACTTGGGCGAACTCCGTCGCCGGCAAGGGGCCTGTTGATGGCTCTCTCGCCCGCGGTCGCGCGAGCCCCGACCGCCTCCCGCGCCGCGGGAGCGGGGGCGCGGCGCGCTCCCCCCGCCAGAGGTCCCCCCGCCGGAGGCCGATCCTCAGGCGTCGGGGTCGCGGAGACGGGCCCGGAGAGGCTCCCGGAGCGTCGCGCCGGAGCGCCTGCCTGGGGCCGACGGTCGCGGTGACCAGGCGGCCGCTGGAGCGCGAGAGCGTGAAGACGGTGCTCGCCAGCGTGAGGGCCGAAGCCGGACTCCACTCCGCCGATGCCGCTCTAGGGAGCGGGCTGGTGGCCGGCGCGAGGCGAAGCCAGAGTCTAGGAGTCCGAGCATATGTTCCGAGGCGGATTTTCCCGACGCCTCGGGCTCCGGCAGTCGTTCCAATGGGTCGGAGAAGACTCAGGAGAGGCTGGCGCTGTTTGCGCGCCGTCACCAGGGCAAGTTGGCCAACAATCTTTCGATGAAGATGGCCACCAAAGTGATGCCCGGGGCCGAGGCGGCCAGCGACTCCGACGCCCAGGTCGACCGGGCCCCTGCGGCAGCCAGCTCCTACTACCTCAGAGTGCTAGCCCCGAAGCACCAGGCCGCAGGCAAACGCAACTTGGCAGACATGGCTCTCATGTGCCGGCTCTTGGACCTCATGGCCAAGCGGAAAACTCAGAGGGCCATGGACTTTGTGGCCCAACATTTGAAGGCCTTGGAAACGGCCAGCGTGGACGGCAATTGGGCCAGAGCCAAATTTTTAGAATTGATGGAAGAAGAGGGCGCCTCGATGGTCGGCCGGTCAGAGCGGTATATGATGCGAGCGGAGGTCCGTGCGGAGCATCAGTTGGAGTCGCGCCCGAACCAGTACCACGCCCAGAACTACCAGAACCAACACCAGTACCAGACCGGCAAGGGCGGCAAGAAGGACCAGGCATCCGACCCCGGGCGCACCGGCAGCCCGCTGGACGGCAAGGGCCTGGCTTACATCCAGAGGGCCAAGGGCAAAGGCAAGGGCAAGCCGGGCAAGTGGTGAGCACCTGACACGGTGCGAAGCGAGCCCGAAAAGGCCACGCTCTGGATGTAGATTCCGGGGCGCTCCCGGATGTTGATTCCGGGATTCAGGAGGCGAGGCTGCCGTCAACAACGGCGGCGGCCTTGCCAACCAGGTGCCGCATTTTGCGGCCTGCCGTGGCCAGCGCCGAAGGCGTGGCCACGGCCGCACCTTTGCACGTGCACGATTGTACAGTTTCGCGCAACAGGGACTTTTCGCAATGGCAGCAAATTTGGTTAGATGAAGCCAACCAGTTGGAGACTACGGGTCAAGTGTGGGAGTTACTGGAAGACGGTTTGGGCTCACTTGATACACCTCTGGGACGATACGCCTCCCTCGGTCCCCTCTCTGGCACCCAGCCATATGACGACTTACTGCCCATCCCGCCTCTTGCTGCGAAACAGGAGGCATTGCAGCTCTCGCGCGCGCGTGGCCAAGACGCTATCATGGCGTCCAAGTGCCAAGCCGCAGTGTGGTGCATGGTAACAGTGCTCAACTTCTTTGCACAAGCAGCGTGGACAGGCCTCGCCGACGGGGACTCTCGTCTCGGAACAGCGACGGAGTTGCGCAAGGCACAATGCCAATCTGTCTCCCATTTCTGGGAAGCGGCCAGCGAGTTCCTGGCGCACGCCGTAGCGGCGCCTAGGGTGTCTGCCGTGGAATGTGATTTCCGCGCCAGGCGCCTTGACTACGCAGGTGGGCCGGTGGCGGTGCGACGGCAGCTAGTCGCCGCCAAGATGCTGCCCGGGTGGCCGTCCGCCCGGGAGGCCGCCGCAGTACCAGTCATGAAATTCCTGGACGGCGAGCTCCTGGACGATGTCCAGGACCCGGCCAGATGTTTACTCCCTCCAAATGAGTGGCCGAGCGAGCCACCGGTGTCGCGAGTTTATGCGTCGGACCGCGAATGGTACAAAATTGTCAAAGAAGGCGCACGCCGCGGGATCTTTGCAGAAGTTGCCGAATCCGACATTTTCCGCGATGCCGGCGGCAGGCTCGTTCTCAATGGCGCCATGGGCGTGGACAAGCCGCCCAAGAGCAGCGAAGGAGGCGAGGTTCTTTTGCGCTTCATCTCGATGTTTACGCCGATCAATGCGTATCTCCGCAAGCTCCGTGGAGACGACCGCACGCTGCCCGTAGCGACGCTTCTTCGTTCTTGCGTCCTGGAGGATGGCGAAGGGTTCTGGGACGACGCAGAGGACCAGAAGGGCTGTTTCAACATATTTTACATGCCTCCTCAATGGTTGGGCTATAGTACTTACGCCAAGCAGGTTCCTGCATCAGCATTTGGTGGAGACCCAAAACGGATGGCATGGGTGGGCATGCGATGTGTGGCCATGGGTTCCAAGGCGGCCGTCGCTATCATGCAGCGCGTGATCAGAGTCCTAGTTTTCGAACACGCCGCGGTGGACCCAGAAACCGAACTGTGCAGAGACAAACCAACGCCCGAAAACGATGTGAGCGTCGTGTGTTTGGATGGTTTCGACTTCGTACGGAAAGCTTCTACTCGCCTGGAAGGGATCAGTGTGCCGGAATCGCAGGAACACGCTGCTTTTGAGAAGGTTTGCGAAGATTACGGGATCCCGCTCAACCCGGCCAAATCTTTGGTCGCCAGTTTACGGGCTGGTATCCTAGGCGGCGTCTTGCTCGGAGATCTCGGCTGGCTCGCCGTCGACCCCAAAAAAGCCCATTCGCTGCTGTTCAAGAGCGTCGTGTTGGCGGGCCAGCCAGCCTGGAGCGCTGGAGCGTTGCAGCACTGGGCTGGCCAGGCGTGCTTCGCCGCGAGGTTCCGGCGGCCCATGTTCGCCGTCCTCGAGCAGGTGTTTGTGGCGATCCAAGTGGCCGCGACGGGGCCAACGACGCCGGCGCCGCAGGCCGTTGACGAGATTCTGGCTTTCGCCATGCTTCTTCCATTGGCATATTCCAACTTGCGGGCGCCAATTAAGCGAACCATTTCTTGCACCGATGCGTCGGAGGAAGGCGGCTGAGCTGCCGAGGCATCTGCGTTTGCGCCGGTGCTGGACCCCAGGCGGGGGACTCGCGTGCAAGCGCACTACGCGACGCTGTCGGAGACGGCGGAAGGCGGCAGCCTTCGCTGCAACTTATGCGCAGTCTGCCAAGCTTCACTTCCGGCCGGAGGGGCCCGGAGGGCCGCCGCCGAGTGTGCCGCGCAGTGCGGGGCTATTACTTGCAGTTTGCAATGCGCGTTGGAGCATCGTCGCAAAGGGTGCCCCCTGGCAGGGGTGCGCCTCTACGGATTTGTCGAATGCGCCGCAGGCCAGGAGGCTGCGCTGTCGTGGGCATTGGCGTGCCAAGGCACCGAAGTGCGCGAACCTTGCGATGCGTCGGAGCTGTTGTCGTGCCGCGAGCATGCCGCGCACATCCCGCCAACGTGGCCAGAGGCCAACGATGCTTTCACGGCGTGGGAGCATTGGGAGGTGCCAAACCAGACGTTCACGTGTGCATGTGATGCATCTTCGTGGAGCACGTGCGCGTGCGAAGCCGGGCGGCTTCGATCCCCTTTGCGTCCATATGGCAATCCGCAGCTGAGCCGGACCGAGCGCGCGGCCCTTTCAGTCGCCAATCGCCTGGCGCGCGTGGCCATCAGCAGGGTGAAGTCCAGAATCGTCAACTGGGGCTTTGGCTCCTTGATGCATCCGCGGCACAGCTTCTTATGGAATTTGCCTGCAAGTTTGGACCTGCAGAGTTGCGCTGACGTGTGGTGCGACCGAGTCGAGCTGTTCGCGGGCGTCGGCGCCCGGCGGGTGTCTTGGCGCGTGGTTCACAATTCTTCTCTTCTGCACCAGAAAGTGGTGGCATCCGCCGGAGCAGACAGACATTCCATGTGTTGGGACGAGTTTCGAAGTCGATTTGCGGCTGCTGTCGCTGCGTCTATCACCGCGCTCCAGGCACAGACAGTGCCTGCCGTCCCCACGGACCGAGCAAGATGGATTCAGGGCCAGATTTCTACGTTACGGCGCAAATCGTCGGCAGGCGCCGCATATGATTCGACAGCGGTTGCGGAGGAACTTCACACAATGGTCCCCGGCGGGGAAGGTTCACATTTACGTCAGCTCCTCAGGTGGGCCGACACAAAAGGGGCACACGTCTGGCTGGCAGCCAGCGTAGCTGAGCAGCTCACGCAGACGGTCCCTTATCCAGCATTCGCCTGGCAATGGTCGTGTACCATGGCGTAATTACGCATGGAAGGTACCACAACATATTCGTTTGCCTTCGGCAGTTCCTGCCACCGCGCTTGGGGCGTAGGCGTATGTAGTCGTCGTCCTTCCTCCCTCCCTCCTGCTTGCCCTCTTCCTCCTCCTCCTCCTCATCCTCCTTCCACTTTGTCTTCGCCTCCGTCGTCACCGTCGTCCCTAGCGGAAGTTGTCCGGGGAAGGGGGCGCAAAAATTCCGCTGGACCCGTCGTCGTACGTTGAAAGAGATAGGAAGATACGAATCTTCCTCATTTTGTATCTTCCGAGTCCGGGGCAGAAGCCTTCCCCGAAAGTGCGTCCACGGATAGGCCGGTACACCCGAGATTGCCACCTTGCGGTGCGTGGCGAAACAGGGGTCAATGCCACAAGCGCCCATGGCCATCTGCAGTAAATTCGTGCCTGGAGAGCACGTTGGCGGATCAACGTTTTAGAATTGGTGTCGTATTTAAATTACGTTCGAAGAAAGTCCCATTCATCGTGTTTCCAAACATTCCGCTTCATCAATGTGTTTGACAGTCAGGTGGCTTGTGCTGTGGTGGCAAAGGGGCGGAGCTCCAGCCAACGGCTCAACAGACCCCGTCGGCGATTGATGGCGTACGAGCTTGCAATGGATGTCTACTCAGTGGGGGTTTGGACGATGTCCGCATTGCAGTTCGCGGACGCCGCGAGCCGCCTGCATCGTGCCCACCATGCCATTTAAGGCGCGTGCGCTGGCGGCGCTTTCGAAGCGCCGTCACCTCAGCGAAGTAGGCATTGTTGCAAAGACGAGGGAACGGTATAAACGGGCAGTCACAAGATTTTTCCATTATCTTCGAACGTATAACCTTGATATTCCACAAACGTTAATGTCTTTAGACACCACTCTGGCGGAATATATCAACCACATGTGGCAAGAAGGCGAGTCGCACGGATACGCCACTGACACGGTGGCGGGGCTGGTGCGTTTCTACCCTGGTATGCGGTCAGCAGTTCCCACCGCAAGGCAGTATCTGAAAAATTGGGACGGAGTCCTTGAGCGCCGGCGCGCTTTTCCTCTCAGTTCCGAATTATTGCGCGCAGCTGTGGGAGCAGCCATGGCGTTTGACCGAGTCGATTTGGCGGCATTGCTGTTGGCAGGTTTTCTGGGTCTTCTGCGCACTGCTGAGATAACTTCACTTACGCCCGCCCAATTGCAATTTAGCCCGGATGGGCAACGCGTTGTCATCTTTTTGAAAGACACAAAGACCTCCCGAAAACGCGGGGGGGTGGAACACGTCACCATCCACGATGCGATTACCGTCAAAACTCTGCGGCTGGCGGCTCGTTCCCGCCACCACCACCAACCCCTGTACAGCAAACCTCCTTCGCAATTCAAATATGATTACAAATGGTTGTGCAGTCTCTTTGGGATGTCTGGCGACTTGGTGACCCCCTACGGGCTCCGGAGGGGCGGGGCCACTTGGCTGTGGCACGTGACAGGGTCTTAGGACAAAGTGGTTGTCGTCGGCCGGTGGCAGCAGGCGGCCACAGCTAGAATTTACATCGAGACGGCCGCGGCAGAACTCACAGCCTGGTCACGCGGTACGCCGGCAGAGGCGCTCCTGCGTCGAGCGGCGGTTTTGAGGGTGGCGGCTTGGGGGGCTTCCGGAGACTGGTCGTCAGGAAGTGGGGTGTTCGGATCGGGGCTGGTTGGACAAGGGCCATGTGATTGGCTTCGTCACGCCATCAGCGCCCAGCGTCTGGACCGCCCAGTGCAGCGGCATGTGCTTGCCGTCAGCACCCCTGCCGCTG